AACACACAAAGTTCTTAACTAATTATTTTGCCAAAAATGTCAAAATCGGCCAAGCACTTTGGTTATCAACCACAGTTGGCCTGCCCCCAACGTTTGGATAAGATCATCCACCAACTTTTCATTTGGTAAACGTCCTTATCATTTTACTTCTTTATCATTTAAGTTATGTTATTAAAACGAGCAAACAAAAGAGTATTTTATTTAATTTTTGGAGTTTTCAATCCCTAAAAATGGAATATTTAGTGAAGGTTTAGGAATAGTAGACGCGATGAAGCATGTAAATGCCCGTCTCTTTCAAGAGCAAAGAGGGCACATCATGTTTCTATATCCCATTGGTTCTTAACATGCATGTCTCTTCGAAATCTTTGCTAATTTGAATTCAATACACTGAATTGGTTATACTTTTCAATTGATAACCATCTTTCTTTTGCAAGGAATGAAGAAGAAAAGAGGGGAGAAATGAAAATAGATGTTCAAAAAATTTTGAGTATTGGTATTTCGTGTTCTAATCTTGGTTCACTCAGGGAGAGTTGGATTACACGGTAGGATAGAAAGGATTATAAATAAAAGGTACCTTTTGCTTATATAAAAAAAAAAGTTAAAAGAAGAAAACTTGATCCATTCATCCTCAGTATATCATAAGTTTTGGATATGAAAAATTAGTAGGTAGCCTATTATATGACAAATTGCATACCTAAATACCTCCAAATTGCATTGACACTTGTACCAGCTTTGTAGGCGGGGCACAATATCGAGAAAAAAAAAAAAAAGTATTCAAGCTGATTTCTCACGGGATGATGACCTTTTTGAAGATTTAGACCTGATTAGTGATCACTTTAGTATTTAATCAGATGATTAATTTCAAAAGCGACCGGTAGTCAGTATCTGCAGGCCACAATAGGATCACATAGTGATGAGTCATTGGTTGGCCTAAAGAAATTGATTTTTTTTTTTTTTTGCAAATTTTCAAATGCTGTCTTCACGTAATTAGACAAAGCTTTCCTTCATGACATCGAGAAAGGACAATCAAGCCAAGAAAGTTTTTGAACATGTAGACAATTATATGTAGACGTGTTGATCTTAGATTTGATTAATCTGAAATTGCATTATCCAGAAAATGATGAGAAAACCAACTTTATGTGAATTATGCATCTTTGGTAATTCAACCTGTATGATTATTATCCCAAAAGAAAGAAAGAAAGAAAAAGATAGTAGCAACAACATATAGGATTCTAATTCAAATGTGTACATCATGAACAGATTGCAGGGAATTTCTTCGAACCTCGCTTGTTCTTATGGGAGAGATTGGAGGAAATGATTACAACCATGCACTTGTTCAAGGAATAAAAATAGATCAGATCAAATCATTTGTTCCTGCTGTTGTTAGCGAGATCAGTTCAGCTATCGAGGTAAATAACAACCTGAAATTGTTTTAACAACTAGTCCAGTAGTCCCTTTCTTCTTCTTTTTTTTTTTTTTTTTTTTTTGGCTAAAACCCGGCAGAATCACAATAACTAATTAGACTGTAATTCTTGAAGATTACATCACATGTATTCAAAAAAAAAACAAAAATAATTACTACAGTGACAATTTTCTTAAATTCATCCATCCATTGTTGGGACTTGGGAGCTGTGTTTTCAGACTCAGACCGGACCGGTCGGTCAAATCGAGAATAGGTCAAATGTTCGATCCGAGTCATGCTTCAAAATCGGGTAAGTAAAAATCCGGTCAAATTCGGTCAAAAACCGGATTTGATCGGAAAAAACTGGATTTTTCGGTTTAAATAGTTTTTCCAAAAAAAAAAAACTCAAACTTTTTCAATATTATGTTTTGACCCCAAATTGTTAAAAATTATTAATATACCTCAAATATTTCATACTTTATCAATATTTTCTTAAAGTTTGGTATTATTTTTCAATTAAGTCCATAATTTTAATGCTAAACTTGTTAATGCCCATTAAATAATATAAATTGTTACTTGATTGTTCTAATTTCTTTGTATTTTCTTGTTAAATATATTTAAAACATCAAATATATATGATTATACCTTTATTAATATAAACATGTTATTAGATATTTTACATATAATATTTTAATTTTTAAATAAATATTATTTATGACGTCATCCGGTTTAACCCCTATCGAACTCGGTTGAACCCATTGACCCCTGATCCTTGAGCTTGAGCGAGTCGATACCTGGTCCGGTTCTGAAAACATAGCTTGGGAGTAGTAGCTCCTATATTCTTGTTGCAGAAGTTGGTAAATGTACAATTCCATGGTAATAATGCAGGAAGTGATTAAGCTTGGAGCTGTGACATTGATTGTTCCCGGGAACTTTCCAATCGGCTGCTCAGCTGTCTATCTGACCTATTTTCAAGGTTCCAACCAGCAAGACTATGACAAGGCTACTGGTTGCATAAACTGGTTAAATGATTTTTCAAAGTACCATAACAGATTGCTGCAGAAAGAACTTAATCGCATCAGAAAACTTCATCCTCATGCCACCATTATCTATGCCGATTACTACAATGCTGCAATGAGATTATATCGTTCCCCAAACAAATATGGTATTTCTCTTTTTTTTTTTCAACTTGATTTACATTTTACTTTTGCGTTGGACTCTTTTTTTTTTTTTTTCCTTCCTACCCGATGCTGGTCTCCTATCATATTATATAATGATGAAGAACGAAGGACGACAAAATTAAGCCGCCTTGGCCCTACAATTTGGATTAATTACTGCAAAATTTAGTGATAATGTAGGGTAACTAAATGTAGTCAATGGAGTTTGCCAATAATATAAAGAATCAAAGGTGCAATTTTACTTTTTTTTTTTACTCTTTTTCTGGTTTTCTTTTCAATCTAATCTGGACCGTAAAATAGTATAAAATGTCAGTTCCGCTAATTCTGATAAACCATTTCCTTTTTTTCCCCCCAAAAAAAAATTATCATAAAGAAAGCTCACAATATAAATTTGCTCTCTTGCTTTTATAATCCCAAAATTGGAACATATATTATTGATATCTCAAACGTTAAGTTGTTACTTAACAGGCTTTAGAGGAGGAGCTCTAAAGGCTTGCTGCGGTGGCGGAGGCCCCTACAATTATAATTCCTCCGTGGAATGTGGCTACCCACCAGCAACTAGCTGTGACGACCCGTCTTTGTACGTTTGCTGGGATGGTTTGCACTTGACGGAAGCTGCCTACCAACTGATAGCCGGGGGCCTACTTCAAGGACCATTTTCTACTCCTCCGATGAATACAATCTGTGCTCTTGCATCCACAAGTTCAGGGCTTTTGCTTCAAGATTAGATTAGATTTTGTGAGACGTCAATTCCATCACTTAATTTTTTAGGGCAAGTGTTCTATCGATCATTTGCTTGGTTGCAAGTCAAGTAGATTTATGTATACACGTCACCATACAAGCCGTGAAATAGCACTTTTCTTGTTTGAATCTATTTTTTTTTGTGTTGGTGTGTCCATCATATATACATTTTTCAGCGTGCAAGGACTATAAAATTTTAATGCCAGGTGAAATTATTAAATCGGGAACTGCATTAATTTGCTGGTAAGTTTAAGGATGCTATTCTGGTTTGACCAATCATTGATTTTTGCTGGAATTGAAGATTATTTAAGGTCCGGGTATTTTACTAGGCTCACAGAGGTATGAGCAGGTAGAGTTGAGTACGAGGATTCTGTCCAAATAAATGTTGTATTATTTGAAATAATTGCCGTAGCATTTTTTTTTTTGTGATATAATGCATGTAAATTAAAAATGTGGTTAAAAATATAAAAACATGAGCTAAAAATGTGTTTATAATATAAGCGAAATATTATTTAAAAAAACTTAGCTATCCAAACATGCCTATAAATTTTTTCCACTTGCTAATTAGCATTTTTTTCACCAGCCCCTAAAATGTCATGAGTTCTTTTCTTTTTCCCCTTTCTGGAGAGCATCAATTTAATCGGGAGGCAACTAATAACTTCTGCCCTTAATTGCTAGACAACTGCATATGATCCTCCATCACCGTTGCACGCCATCAATAGTAATGAGCCGCCTTACACTCATTAAATTTTGGAGCCCATATGCCAATTTCCTCTTCAATGTTAACTCACAGGACTGCTGTACTCGTTTGACTTTGACATCAAGATGTGTCGAGTACCTTCATGTTGAAATGAGTACGATGACCCAAGTCCAATCCGGTTGCGTCTTACCCTCCCTTCCACCCGTCGTACAGGATAGATGAAAGTTTTAGGTCAAGAATTAAAGGTCATCTTCCAAAACGAATAAAAAGATTCAGTCTACAAATTATAATTTTAAGATTCTTTAATGCTCATTAATTATGCGCATTATAATATTATTCTAATATTGCAAGTAAACTTTTAAGTGATAAAAATAGAAGAAATACGTACATTATGTATTCAAAATAACAACAGCAATACGAGATTCCGTACCACAACTGGTAAATCTTTGTTTGAGCATGTGAATGAATTTAGCTATATAAATGAGGATTTTAGGTGTTTTTTAGTCAATTACACACCAAGGCATAACACAAGGTTTTATATTTTGACGGATTCTGTAACGAATTTTAATTGTCATTGCATTTGTGTTTATCGGAACTTTTACTTGGGCTTGAAGATTACTACACTAAATGTTAAGAAATGATACCAAAAAACTTTTGGAAAAATGGCCAATTTAGTTTCTAAACTTTTTTTTCATCGATTTAGTCCCTATATATTATTTGTAGCCAATTTAATCTTTAAACTTATATTTCTGTTCCAATCAAGGAACTCAGTGGCAATGCCACCGTATAATTTTCATCAGGCTCATAATCGAGCATTTTAGAGACTTCGATGCTGGGATTATAACAAAAATTATATCAAATTAACCAACAGATATGTCTTTTTGAGAATACTTATCACTAAAACGAATTTGTTGTATCAAAACTTACCACTAGAATTTTTCCAAAAAGTAAGAAATGAAGCCCCCCCCCCCCCCCAAAAAAAAAAAACCATCTCTGAAACCATACATCAACCAAAAAATACATAAAGTGGAGGCTTCTTTTCCACCTCCGTCAAAATTTAATCATGCAACAAAAAATACGCTTAGATGAGTTAGAGGCAGACAGCGGTGTTACCAACATTGTTTAAGCCCTCCACCAATCTTCTCTTTGCTGACTTGGTTCGACAACACCAGACCTCAAAAGCCTCGCTCAGATTAGGATACCTTAACTGCACAGAGCTCATCCAGTTCACAAGGATGTCGGCTTGATCACTTGATGGCAATGCCAAAATCAATGAGACCATGGCTCTCTCAATGCTCTGGCAAAGATGTTCATCCAACTTGAATGGGAACTCGGTCTCCTTGTCGGCCATGGAATCTAAAAGGGGCTTTATCTTCCGTGTGTATGGAAGCCGTGTCTTTAGCAAATATACTCGGCATTGTGCAAGAAGAATCACGTTTCCATATCCGACTACTTTCAATACTTTTGCCGTGACTTCTATCAGCTTTACTTTCAGACCCCAGAAAGCAGAATCAAACTTTTTATTTTCAACAACGGTTGCTTCTATGGTGGAAAGTCGGATCAACTATGCACCGTAGGCAGAACTATTGCTAAGATGACAACTCAGCATAGGCATCTTTGTCTATTTGTTTGGGTCCCAAAGGTAACCGGCAAAGTTTATATTACCTGAAGCAGTGGACAGCAACATTGATATAAATTGGTTGGTGTAGATGCTAATTTTTTAAAACTTAATATTAGAAGAGAGTGAAAAATGGATCAATAATTGATAAACTTAAGCAATAAATAAATAAATAAATAAAAGAACAAAGTCAAAGAATCACTTAAATTCTACCACTGTTGCATTAAGTTTCCCTATGTATGTAGAAATAATTAATTTTATGGTCATTTAAAAATGTATTTTTTCATGAAAATTGGTTTTTCAATTTGAAATTTAATTTGTAAAAGAATTTTTATGATATGGTGATTTTTGTACGGTATTTACTTATTTGGTAATTACTAACATTAACTGAAAATTTACAAATGAAGTGCTTAAAAACAAAAGAAAGGCACAGAAAGGAGGGTGAGTAATTGGTAAATAATTAATTAACAAAACTACTCAAGAAACCGTAACTTTTATATATGTGAGGAAATATTAAATACTCTTAATAGTAAGACACAAAAGGAATTTAATAGATGAAAAATGTGTATTAACAACACTTAGTGATGCTCCCAAATATTGGATGGATGGTATAAAAAAATATTAATCTAAATTAAATTGATAGTGTATACACTAAATACCTAGATGCATGCCATAATTTGTGTAGATCATTTTTTTTGTGAAAATTCATGAAATATACGATGCAATCCCAAACCACGAGTTTAATGTTTTGAGAGTATGCAAAATGAATTAATGATCAATTGTAAGTAAAGAAAAAGAAAAGTCAATGAATGATTGATACTTAATATTATATTAGCGCAAAAGACACATTCTAGGTCTCTCTCTCTCTCTCTGTGTCTCTCTCTCTCCATTCTAATCTTTATATATATATATATATATATATATATATATATATATATATATTTTCAATATTAATAAGATTACCAAGGAAAAGAGATTAATACTTGCTACTCTAAATTTTTTATTATTCAAAGAGAAGAGTATTTTCTTCTAAAATTTATGATTATTTTATCTACAAGCTCAATTCTAGTTTCTTGAAGTACTATGTTAATTAAGTTTATGATTACTCATCTACAAATTCGATATTAATTTAAAAGTCACCATGTTACATATAAGATTACTTATCTAATTTCTAAATTTAAATTAAAATCTTCTAGGTTAATTATGTCACGATTATAGTTACTTGAAGTATTGTGTTAATTATGTTTCTAATAAATCATCTATAATTTTGATTCTAATTAAAAAGCTACTATCTATTCAACATATAAAGTTAGAGAGATCGCAGTTAGTGTAAACATTTTTATGTCATTTTTCAAACTTTCTATTTTATCCTTAAAGAAAAACTAATTTTTACTCTGACTACTTAATCACATTTTGCCAATATAACTACTGTAACTACTCTAAACAATGTTGGTGTTTTAAATAATGTGTTGGATCTCACCTCTTTATTTTATCGTCAAGTGCATTGTTTGGATATGTATATTAATTTGAATACGAGATTGTAATTGACATTTATATAGATGTCATTGTTTGTTTGTTTCAATGGATTTGCTCTCATTAGATAATCCTTATCACAACAAAATCTTTTAATTCAGTACTTACTTTTAAGAGTAAATTTTGATTTTACTATAATTGGTTATCCTTATCATTAGATAATGTTAATATTTAAAAATTCTCAAATTTTGACACTATTTTACTAGTCAATTTTGTGATTTATAGTTTGTCATGTCCAGTACAACTAGTTGCAGAGTTAGAACTTAAGTTGGTAACTATCTAGTTATTTCAATAGTTCAAACGTTCAATCTTTGAAACTTTTGTATTATGTGATTTATGTTTATGAATTTTTTTATCTATAATCTCAATTCTAGTTTCTTGGTAGGGGTGTGCATCGAATTCGAATTTGGTAATTCAGAAGTTTGAATTCGAAATTTTTTGGAATTTTGGCATTGGAATTACCGATCGATTTCAATTTCGAATTCACCAATTCCGATTTCGATTTCGATTCCAAATTCGATTCGGAATTTGGTAAATTTTTAATTCACCGAATTCGGAAACCTTTTTTTTCTTTTTTGTTAGATGTGTTGTTATATAATATAAATTTTATATTGCATATATTATAAATATATTATTATATATATAAATATACATAAATATACATATTATAAAATGAAATTGAAATAAAAAATATTATTATATCTATAAATAAATAAATAAATATTAATATATATTATAAAACGAAATTGAAATCGGAAAATCCAAATATTGGATGGATGGTATACAAAAAGATTAATCTAAAATAAATTGATAATGTATACACTAACTACCTAGATGCATGCCATAATTTGTGTAGATCATTTTGTTGTGAAAATTCATGAAATATGTGATGCAATCCCCAAACCATGAGTAATTTTTTTAAACTTAATGTTTTGAGAGTATGCAAAATGAATTAATGATCAATTGTAAGTAAAGAGAAAGAAAAGTCAATGAATGATTGGTACTTAATATTATATTAGTGCATAAGACACATTCTAGGTCTCTCTCTCTCTCTCTCTCTCTCTCTCTATATATATATATATATATATTTTTCAATATTAATAAGATTACCAAGAAAAAGAGATTAATACTTGCCACTCTAAATTTTTTATTATTCAAAGAGAAGAGTATTTTCTTCTAAAATTTATGATTATTTTATCTACAATCTCAATTCTAGTTTCTTGAAGTGCTATGTTAATTAAGTTTATGATTACCATCTACAAATTCGATATTAATTTAAAAGTCACCATGTTACATATAAGATTATTTATCTAATTTCTAAATTTAAATTAAAATCTACTGGGTCAATTATGTCACGATTCTAATTTCTTGAAGCACTGTGCTAATTATGTTTCTAATAAATCATCTAATTAAGCCATGTGTACTCCAATCTTAAACTATAAATGCTTACCTGATGTTAATCATCATCAGGTAACCATAGTTTGTTTTGGGATTCATAAAACATGCCCACAACTTGTGCGGGTGCATGTTTATTTACAATAATACAGTTCATATACTAAAGTGGGTCCCATCTTTACAACTCCTTCTGCCCGGTTTCGGTAGCTATTTCACGGTCGCTGTCCTTTGCCTGGCCCATGCTCATGTGCTGTCCTGATTCCATTTGTTCTGCCTACGGTACAAAGCTGACTCAGCTTTCCACCATAGACGCAACCTTCAAGAACAACCAGTATATTATCTGATATATCTACACAGTTACCAACAAAATCTTTCATCAAATCCATCTTGGGAAGGACATTGAACATCCATTGGAGCATACGACAGTGTTAGAAACTCGATTGCTAGCTAAGCTTGAGCATGCTTTGTCCCAATTCCTTCTCGGATTCATTTAATTGCAGTGCTTTTTGTACGCGTATTTGGGAAAATTGAGTAGATCTCTCTTTCTTGAAAGAACTCTAGGTTTAGAATTGAATTTTTTCATCGATTTACTCTTTTTGGTCACAGCCCCAACATCAAAATCCTTAAAATACCCCTTCTTTTTTTTTTTTTCCGAAACGATACTTGATTATATTACTTCCAAAACATGTACAAGTGCGAGCAAAGGCTCGAGATAACTTTACACACAGTGTGTTTAACACTGAGGAAACAAAAGTTCCTCATCAATTGTGATGCCTAAGGCATATAGACTAATCTTAGAACTTAGATGATTGTTACCACTATTAACTAGACAAAAGGAGCACATATGGAACAGCCCTTTCATTTGTACAATATCCTCCACCAGAGTAGCTACTCTAATATCACGTGCCTTTTGAGTTCGTATGTGATTGAGGAGTTGCTTGTTCAGTACCTGGAATTGTACCTTCCTTTGTTGCAAGATGGTTGCTTTGCACATAGCCAGTTTTAGTGCTACTGCTTCATCCACTAGCTGCACCCCTGAGCTTCTTTCTTTTAATGCCCATCCTATCTTTGGCTCTTGGTTTCCCTCAGCTAAAGTGAGTCCAATGCCTAAGACAGGTTTGTCTGTGTATCTTGTTGCCGCAACTCTCATGATCACTGTTCCTCCTTCCGGCTCTAATTGCTGGTCCTCATGGTTGTCAAGTGATGTTCCTCCTGTGCTCATCCTAGTTTCCTTGTTCGTTGCTTCTTCAAATTCTAGCCATTCCTCCTGAGCCTTCTTAATTGTCCTCCACGGCTGATGATATTCCCCCTTGAATTCCAAATCATTTCTGTCCTTCCATATCTGCCACAGAATGTTGGCAGTGAGGGCCAGATGTTGTGATCCTGATGTTCTATGCCTTGCCTCAATGATTGATGTCCACCATCTTTTGAAACATCCATGATATTCTTGCATGCCTTCCCAATGTATAGGTGCAAACTGCCAAATTTGTTTAGCTTCTCTGCAATTCAGTAGCGTATGCTCTACTGTCTCCCTTCCTTCCCCACACCTTCTGCAAATGGGATCACCTACTTTGGTTCTTCCATAGATGATCTCTCTCACTGGCAATGCATTATTCAGGCATTTCCACAGGAATATCTTTAGCTTGTGTTTAATTTTGAGCCTCCACATTACTCTCCACATCTTATTATTTTGTTGTTCCCAGCTCGTGGACACCTCCTCCTGACTTTCTTTTTGTGGCCTTGCTCTACTGGATATCAATGCCTTGTACCCAGAAGAGACAGAGTACTTGCCATCAGCACCATGCATCCAGAAGTAACTGTCCTCTCTTCCTAATAAACTAATTGGAATGCCCAGGATTCGTTCTGCATCCACTTTATTAAAAATCTGGAATACCAAGTTCCTATTCCATCTTTTCTGAGTTATCAGATCTTCCACCTTGTAAAGGCTGCTGTTCAATTGTCTCTTGGTTGTCACCCTCCCATTGGCTGCGTCTGGGATCCATTTGTCATTCCAGATTTGTGTACTCCTTCCATTGCCTATTCTCCTTCTAACTCCTTGTTCCACTAATTCCCTTGTTTCCATCAGTCCCTTCCACATCCATGATGCATTGTTTGGAACTTTGCACTTGAATATGGAGCTCATGGGGAAGTATTTGGCCTTTAGTACTTGGCTGACTAGGAGATTTGGTTGTGTAAGTATCCTCCACACCTGTTTGCCTAGCAAAGCAGTATTGAAAGCTTCCAGCTCCTTGAAACCCAATCCGCCCTTTTCCTTGACTTGAGTGAGTTTCTTCCAAGAGCACCAGTGAACCTTATTCTTACCATTTACTTCACCCCACCAGTAGTTAGACATAATGGAGCTGATATCTTTGCACAATCTTTTTGGAACTTTGAAACACGACATGGTATATGTGGGCATAGCCATGGACACCGACTTGAGCATTATCTCCTTTCCAGCTGCACTAAGAAGTCTGTTCTTCCACTTGAGGAGCCTTTGCTGTATGTTAGTTCGTATGAAGCCAAATATCTGTTCCTTTGTTCTTGTGACCACCATTGGCAGGCCCAGGTACTTGTCTTGACTGACCTGTTGCATGTTCCCCATGATCTGGCAGATCTCTTGCTTCTCTCCTGCACTCACATTTTTGCTGAACAGGATGGAGGACTTGTCGAGATTTATCAGTTGACCAGATCCAGTGGCATACACTTTCAGCACCCTCATAAGTTCTGTTGCTTGTTGCTGATTTGCTTTGCAGAAGATTAGTGAATCATCTGCAAAGAATAAGTGCGTAATGCTTGGTCCCCGCCTACAAATTCTCATCCCTGACATCTTCTTACTCTCTGCTGCTCGTCTGAGGAGATTTGAGAAACCTTCTGAACAAAGGAGGAATAGATAGGGGGATAGGGGATCCCCTTGTCTAATGCCTCTTCCTGGAGTGACATATTCTTTTACTTCTCCATTTATAGAGAAAGAGTATGTTACTGTTCTTAAGCATTCCATGATCCATTTTCTCCATTTGTAGTGGAATCCCATTTTTGCCATCATCACATCCAAGAAGCTCCATTCAACTCTGTCGTATGCCTTGGACATGTCCAGCTTCACGGCCATGAACCCATCCTTACCTTGCCTTTTGTTTTTGATGTAGTGCAAATATTCATGAGAAAGCATGATGTTATCCAAAATTTGCCTACCAGGGATGAATGCGGATTGATTTTTGCAAATGCAACAGTGCAAGACATTTTTAAGCCTATTCGCTAAGATCTTAGCAATGATTTTGTACATAGTGTTACAAAGACTTATGGGCCTATAGAGTTTCAGAGAAGTAGGATTTAGAACCTTAGGAATAAGGGTGATCACTGTGTGATTGACATTTTTAAGAAGGTGGCCACTATGAAAAAAAGATTGGACTGCCTTGACCACATCATTCTTAACGATGTTCCAGAATTTTTGGAAGAAAATTGGCGACATCCCATCAGCCCCAGGGGCCTTATCAGGGCTCATGGAGAATAAAGCAGATTTAATCTCCACTTCCTCCACAAGTTTTATGAGGTTTTCATTCATTTCCACGGTGATATTGTTTGATATACCTTCTAGTATCTCAGATAAGTCCCCATCTCCACTGCTAGTAAGGAGTTTTCTGTAGTATTCAGCAATCTCCGAACTTAGCTCCTCCTCACTCTCAGTCCATGATCCATCTTCTCTTTGCAACTTATTCATTCGATTTCTCCTCCTCCTTCCTTTCACAGTTGCATGGAAGAATTTTGTGTTTTTATCTCCCTCCCTGAGCCATTGTAGCCTTGATTTCTGTGCCCAATACAATTCTTCTTCCTTGTAAGCTTCCTTGAGATTCCCCTTCAGAATGTTCATTCTACCTTTCCTATTGCTTATGTCTATTTCCTTTAGCTCACTCATTTGTCTTTTGATCCTATCTATCTTCCCTCTTGAATTTGCTTGGAAAGTATTTTTCCATTTTAGTAGAGCAATTCTGCAATTCTTGATCTTTTTTGACACTTGAAACATCCTTGATCCTTCCGTGTCTAACTCCCAAGCAGTCTTGATCACCTCTCCTATGTCCTCTCTTCTTAACCATCTCTTTTCAAAAAAGAATCTCTTCTTCCTCCTATCTGACCCTGGTCTTGTGTCGATCATGATCATGCTGTGGTCAGAAGCATAAGTATCCAGATGTCTACACTTGACTTGGTCGAAAATCTGGTACCATGAGTAACTGCATAGCCCCCTGTCCAGTCTTTGTTTAATTTCACCTTCAGATTCCCAATTATTACACCATGTCCACGGGAGTCCCTCGAAACCTATATCCATCATCTGATTTCCATTGATGAACTCTTTAAAATCCTTAAAGCTTCTATCCTCCCTCCAGTTTCCTCCCGACTTTTCATCATTAGATACTATATCATTAAAGTCCCCTGCTATTATCCACCTTTCCCCCCACAATCTTTTCCTTTTCTGAATCACTTTCCATTGCTGTCCTCTCACCTGATTGTCACAACTCGCATATATACCAATGAACCACCAATCTAGATTAGCTTCTTGGTCCTCCACATGTGCCTCGATAGTAAAGGCAGAAATCAAAATCTCTTTTATTGTCACTTCCTCTTTCCATAGCAGAGCTATACCACCTGTTTTGTCCATGGCATCAGCTACTGCAATCTCATCAAATCTTAAAATGTTTTTTACTTTTTCCAGGTATTTTTCCTTGTTTTTGGTCTCACACAGGAATATCATGTTTGGAGAGGAGAGGTTATTCACCTCCCTCAGATGGGGAATTGTCAAGGGGCTCCCCACTCCTTGACAATTCCACACCAGCACCTTCATTTGTTCTCTGGGGTCCAAATTGGGTTGGACCCCTCCCCCTCAGCTTCTTTCCTTCCAAACTCTAACCCACTATCATGCTTGCTTTTTTTCCAAACCTGAAATTCATCCCCAGCAATCTCCACCTCCACTTCCATTTCATTGATACTCCTTTTTCCTTTGTTTTTCTTATCCTCAAGTTTATTGCTAATATCCCTCAGGGGTTGTCTTCTACTCCTTGGTGACCTTAAGGGGTTCACAATTCTTCTGTTTTGTTTCAAAACTGCCACTTTCTTCCTTTTCTCACTTACAGTATCAACCTGCATGATTTCCGCTTCTATCAGTCCTTCATCATCGTGAATATGTTCCATGTTCTGATCTGCCCCCTCCATTTGTTTATCCACTTGCCTTCCTTCATCCGTGTTCATTGCTTCCCTAGTCTCCTCTAGGGGACCATCCTCTCCTTCATTTATGCTACAACCTCCCCCCTTAGTGTAGTTTCCACAATCTCTACATCATATCCCTTCCGCATTCCTAAATTCTTGTCTGTGTAGAGCTGTGTTTCAGTGATCTCCCTGC